CTTATTAAAAATACATCATTCGAGAAAAACATGCTAGTTTAACGGGACTCTATCGTTTTAATCTGCGATTCTTCAGTGTCTACAAGGTGTCTAAAAATATGTCATTCGAGAAAAAACATGGCAGTTTGACAAGGCTGTAACGTGTGATTCTTCAATGTCTACAGGGTGTCTCAAAATACGCCATCTAAAAAACATGGCATTTCAACGAGGCTCTATCGTTTTAACGTGTGATTCTCCAATATGTACAGGGTGTATAAAAATGAACCATTTAAGAAACAACATGTTTAACGGGGACCTAACGTTTCAACGTGCGATCCCAATGAGAAACGTTCGAAAATAGGGCAATGAAGAAACAGTGTTCAGCAATGACATTTCAACATACGTTACATGCATTTTTTCGTTTTCGTGTTCGAATGCATGTCATTTGTCAAAATACATCATTAAAAAAACATGACGTCACTGTGTACAAGGTGTGACAAAATATATCATTTGAGAAAAAAACATGACAGTTCGACGGGGCTCTGACTTCTCAACATGCGATTTCTCAATGCATACAGAGTGTTTCAAAATATGTCATTTGAGAAAAAATATGGCAGTTCAACAGGATAGTAGGGGGTATAGCACTTCAACGTGCGATCTTGATGAGAAACGTATTCATATTCAAATGTGTTGCGGAGTTAACGTTCGGAAATATATATGTGTTCCGACCGTTTTTTGTTTTCGTGTCGAGGCCCTAACGTTTTAACGTGCGATTCTTCAATGTGTACAGGGTGTCTCAAAATACGTCGTTTGAAAAAAATATGGCAGTTCAACAGGAGTGTAGCGTTTCAACGTGCGAATCCAATGAAAAGCTTTTAAACATGTTAGTTTAGCGGGAGTGTAGTATTTCAACGTGCGATCCCTATGAGAAATGTAATTATATTAGAAAATGTTGTGGAGTTAAAGTTCGGATATATGTTGTTTTACATGTGTTTTGACCGTTTTTCGTTTTCGTGTCGACATTTTAACGTTTCAACATGCGATCCCTCAATATGTAATGGGTGCGTCAATACATTATTTGAGAAGAACACGATGTTTGATGTATTTTTGAAACATCCTGTAAACCCCAATGGCAGCCATGTTTTTTCTTTTACGTTGGCAGCCAATTTTTTTCCTTCAACGCTGCACTGAAAGCCCCGCTGCCATGTNTGAGTCGTCGTCTCCTCAAGAGCGGGGTACCTTATGAAACCTCCTTGCACCAAATTCTTGAGGGGCGTATGCAGAATATGTCTCAGGTGGAGGAACAAACCCATGAGCAGGTTAGCAAACGTTTGCGCTCAAGTGAGATTTCACCAAACCCAGAGGTGGAAAAGCCCTGCACGGCTGAATCTAAGACATCGTCAGGTGTAGCTGACGTGCAAAAACTCCCATATGGAAAGAATGTCGCGAGTATCAAGGTAGGAATCTTGCACCTTGACCATCCGACTACCTCATCAACGATGAAACAGCAGAGCATATACTTTGTGCCTGCCCCGCTGGGGACTGATTCAGGTTTTTGGACTTCGGCAGAGTCACACTCTTACCATCTGACCTGAAAGACCATTCACCATACAAACTAATCGGCTTCATTAAGAAGCTGGAATTATTTGGTCGGGTGTGAATAGGTGTGAGCCACTATGAACCATTGCAGGTTGCGGTGGAGGGTCGAATAGACCCACTCACTTTGGACCTAACCTAATCCAACCCAAGTTAGTGCCCTTCTGGCCGCCATCTTTGTTGTTTCTTTATCGATTAATTCTGCATTCCTTTCCCTTCCATTTGATGTGCTGTACGTGATGATCCGATTATTATTACCGAAGATGTGGCTTAGTGCCCTTTTGATATATCACATCTTTCACTTTTTTCTTTGTTTCACACTGTCATACACAAATTGCATCTTCTCAGTCTCACATAAGCCACACGTACATTGAGTTGGGCGTTGTACAAGGTTTCTATCGGAGGCCTTAAAATGCCCAGAGATAATGACGACGAAACGATAACGAATAAACGTACACCAAACGGTTGAAACACATGTAAAACAACACTCTATATACCTAATTAACTAATTATAGACGAATGGTTGGATTTATAAAATGAAATTCATTGCATTGAATTTGCACAACATCCCTTTTTCGAAACTTCTCTTGGCCCCCTTGTTGACAAAAAAAATCTGAATGTCTGAGTTTCGTAGCAAAAATATTGAAAATTCCTTAATCACTAATGTTTGACAAATCATTATAAAATAATTATTGAGTCTTAGAAAATACTATTGATATCTTCATAAAGCTTGAAAAGATCTTTGTTTAATTTACCAATTTGGTCGTTAGTATTTTCTTGAAGCATCATTTCATGTCCTGAAATAACTGAATGTCAAACATCATCAATTTTGTTGATTATTTTCAATTATATGATAATCAATTCTTGCTTATTTTTATTTTGTTGTTTAAGTACTATTATGGTTTGATTATAATCCACTAACTTTCCTTTTCACTGTATTCTTATTACCAATTTCTCACATTCACCTATTGAAAATTCCCGAATTCTATTGATCAGTTGTTATATCAAATACTGAATTTGGTTTCACTCTGTTTATACAGAATGCTTGAAATATTCTCCCAATTCAATTTTGAAAATTTCCATTTGATATCTCAATTCTCCACCTGATTTTTGAATGCTCTATGAAATACAGGAAGTGGCAGTCACTCAGGTAAATGAAGATGATCACTCGGTGATCGAAATACGTGTCGAGGTGTTGAAATAACGATTTGGTGTTGGGAAAAAACTTGAGATAATCTACTTAGGTGTATACAGCGGTATCTGCTAGAGGTGGTGAAAGGATAACAAAAAAGTGTTTTGATGTCAAATGATTCTGATACAAGAAAATGAAGGACAATGGATGATGTAACAACATACAACTATTAAAAAATATATTTTTTTACTTACGGCTTCGCAGCAATCGAGATTGAGAAGATAAACAGCACATCTCTCACAATTAAGCAGATTCTGTGCTTCACGCATTATTTTTGTTACGAGGCACTGCAAATTATTTTGTTCTTCAAATATACTTCTGGCTAGGTTGAGCAGTATCTGAAATAAATATCTACACTTGATATTTTCTGAAGAACTAATTCAGATGGTACTCTTGTAGATGATAGATATAAATGATAAATTTGTGAAACATCTCGTTGTTTACTTCAATAATGTATCAATCTTTGCAAAATATTCTAGATCAATTTATAATGACTAGACATTGGAATAACATGTTCAACAAGTGAATATACTTGGGTATATAGTTGAGAATCATGAAAATATATCTCAATATATTTAAAAATCAATACTTGCATGTGTNTGCCTGATGGTTTCACTTCAGCTTTCTGCCCAGCATAAGGTGAGTTAGTTGTTGTTTTTCCATCGAGTATCTGCCACACGTACCTAAAGAGACGTAGGTTCACATGAGGCAAGCGGTAGGGTATTTTTCACCTGAACGTGTCTATGATTGAATTCAAACGGGAAAGATTATTTGGAACAGAACTCAAGAAGAATTGATGGCAAACTGCGGACACGTATTTATGGCTATTGGCCTGATCATTGAGTAAATGTTCCAGGGGTTCAATCTCTAGGAGGATTGGTCCTGTTGAGCAACGACCGGCGCTGGAGGAAGAGTTGATCTCTCCTTTCCGGGAAGCACTGGATTGCCTCTCTTTCCATTTTTGCACCAATTGCTCGGGGGGTATTATCATCATTTGAAGAATTGGAAAATCAACAAGAACCATTGGAAAATTGTGTAGATCATACAAAAATGTTCCATCCGGAAGCAAATGGAAAGAGGAAAACCTTTCAACAACTACTCTTAATTTTTTTATTCTTGTCTCAATTTGATTACACATGTACTGGATATTGAAACTGATATCATTGATGAAAAACTCTGTACAACGTGATAAGTGTAAAAGCAATAATATTGAATTTTATTTCCGAGTGGACTCTGAAAATCCAGGAAAAAAAAACTCATTTTTCGTCATCTTCTCATAAGCTATTTTGAATATTTTTTGAAAGTGATGAAATGATTTTTTCTCGTATTCGTATACTAAAGGTATTCTAGATAACTACATTCTAATGTATTCAATACTTTCTAATCCAAAATCCAAAAAAGCGGAGGGTTGGAAATATTTTTCATAGAGGGATTAAATATTTCATTCACCTACAAATTGTTCATATTCTACTAGTGATATTGTCATATCGATATTCACCATATGAGGTTTTGTGCAGACTACGAAATAATTTTCAATTTTTTTAAGGACAAAACACAAGCACTACAGGAAAATCCTTAAGGCGCTCTCAGAGCGGTGCCTGTGCGTAAGTAGTGATTTACATTGAATTTGAATCGCTGGAGGTTGAATCCATTTGGAAAAAAATGCTGTATTTTATTCCACATGGCAAATAATAACCATTTTTCATACAGATCAGTATCTCAAAAACAAAGATTTATTCGGATAAGATCACGATATCAGTTGTCTAAATCGATAAATTGTAAGTGTTAGTTTGAACTGAATACATTTAAAGTAATGCCCACAAATGGAAAATAAATACACGTATTTGGATTATTTTTAGGTAAATGATGTTATGGTTATGAAGTTAGACGCTTGATTGATACAGTATTGCTCAAATCATCAATAGTTGTAATAGTTTATTTTCCATCTAATCTGAAAAGAACCGAATGGGTCTTTTTTCCATATCTCTCTTTCAGAATTTGAAAGTCATCAAAAGGAAATTTTTATTTTATGTTTCATAACCAGAAACTATTTTTACAATTTTCCCCCAACGATTCTAAACGTTAATTACTACTTTGAGTTGTGCAAAATCTTTCAGTACTTGTTTCCAAATCATCGATATTAATGGATGAAAATTGTTTGATGTAATATATTACCTGGTTTTTTTTATGTTCTCGATCTGATACTTCAAATAGCTGGGCATTGTGTATTCCGATTCCACAAAATGTGATATAAAGTTGAAAAAGTTCCACGTCTTGTTGTGTGAATTCTTGGGAGTCATTGGTTTTATTGATGATTTGGGCCACTCCGATCACATCACCTTCAAAATTGCAAATTGGCATGCAGAGTATCATGTTGGTCTTATAGCCTGTCCTCAAATCGATTTCATTATTGAATCTCGGGTCCTAAAATAAAGAAAATTCCGACGAAACTGTATATGATCTGATGATTATTGTGAAAATCGGATGAAAGATACTTCACTATGGCTATCAATCTTCTAAATATCATTATTTCTCAGGTAATTCTTCGATAATGACAAAGATAACTTTTTGGAACTGAGTAAAACTGTCAAAAATACTGGTTAGAATAGTGAGAGGATTTAAACTTAGAGAGGTTTTTCGTGATATGCATATCCATGATAGCGACTCCTGTGGGAAAGTGGCGATTAATGTTGGATTTGAATAGTTTTAAAAATCAGCCCTCGAAGTCTTTTCTACAAGAACATCTTTTGCCAAAAAGAAAAGTCTCTCCCTACTTGCAAGCGGTACGTGACATCAAATTGAAGAACAAGCATGATTGATAGATAGATTTATTTGACAACTTTACAGTTTGTTGTAAGTCAGTCAGAAGATGGAATAAAACTAGTCATAAGTTGAAAAATTTTATATAAAATTGCACAAAAACAAATACTTTCGATTGAACATAATAATATTCACATCCTTTGATATCTGTCGTAAAACTTGAGAAATAAATAATCACTAAAGGAATAATTGCAAAATCTTTGAATTTTTTGTCCATTTCTGAAGACGGAGGTAGATTTTGGCCTCCAAAAGAAAGGTATTGTATTATTTCTTAGCATTTTTTTTGATAAGCAAAATTGTTGAATACGATAAGTTACTGATAAATAGAACAAAATAGAACATTTTCCATTGTGAAAAATAGGTACTTTGATTTTACGTAGTAACTTATCGGGGTAAACTAAAAAGTTTGCCCTTTTTACACTTGTATAAAGTTCTCCATTATAATTTTCATACTTTTCCGATTGTGGAAGGTGAAAATATCCAAAACTGGTTGACAAAAAACTGATTTTTATCCACAAAAATGACTTTCGTTGAATATTCAGTGTTAACAAAATTTTGTGAAGAGTGTAAAAAACAAATATTATGTATAAACTTGTTTAGAAAATGATGATCTGAATACTATAAAAACAGTTTTCTAGGTGGAAAGTTTCAGTGTGATATTGAAGGAGCTGTGTTTGAGCACTTTAGATGAATTTGGGAGATGATTATAACAATAAACATTCAGATAACCAGAGTGACATCCCTTTCACTCCATAAAACACTGAATTTTTGAAAAGATTGTCGTGCGAACCGCAGTCGAATGCGTGAGAGATACAAGCCCTTTTCTGAAAAGTGGCCAATACCATACGTACATTTTAATATATCTGAAAAACAACCCATTTGTATGCTTGAGTTGGATGAAAATGTGCCGGTACCCGTTTTTTGAAAACGTTGAAATTGATTTCATCAAGTTTCGGTCAGTTCATCATATTTTTTATGCTGAATATAACAGAAGAAAAGAAGAAACCAAAATAGTTGGATAAAAAATTCGTTGCTGTTTTTATAGATACTTTAAGAAAATTATTGTTTACATACGTATGCGAATACTGCAATGAATCTGAAAAAAACACTACGGTGGAGTTTGAGTATTCTAGGATGTGATCATTTTCTGTTGAATGAATTGAAGTATAGGCTGGTTCAAAGTTGCAGTTGAAATATATAATGACATACTTACTATTCAATACTGAAAATCGCAGGCAAGGATGCACCTATCGTCACCTATTTTAAGTTGGGGAGGTAACAATTTTTTTTCGACCATGCCAATATATAATTAAAATGTTTTTGACTATACAATTTTGATTTAATTGAAGGGGTTATATTTTTGGAGTGATTAATTTTTGGGAAAAAATGTTTTTGACTATACAATTTTGATTTAATTGAAGGGGTTATATTTTTGGAGTGATTAATTTTTGGGAAAACAACTTTCTTTCCCAACAATTTTGATCTACTGTATGGTGCATATTATATCAAAGATCATGAAAAATTTGCACCCTATCGTTTTTTTCTATTCCGAAACAACTTTTTTGCTGGAGAGATAGATGGTAATGAGTTGCTTTTAAAGTTATTCAAAAAGGTAATTCGAGAATTATTGAATTCATGATTGGGTGTCACCTGGATTTTGTTAAACCAATATTCCTCTTGAAGATGATCACTTGGTGATTGAAACACGTGTCGAGGTGTTACTACACCAGAGGTTTCAAACAGTGCAACGGATGTAACGGATGTCAAATCTTTCAGCAGAAAAAGCTGCCTTCTTCTCATTGTTGGTTTCACTTCGACTTGAAAGCAATTACTTTTCACCACCACGGTAAAAAAACATTTCGTAGTATTTTTTCAATAACGTGATTCAGTTACCTAAAGGTCCAAGTTGAAATGAATTGTAAAGTGGAAAGTACACAAATCTTCAATGATACCAATTTGTTCTTTTTGAGCATTATCGACGTTTATTCGATGCTTAATTAGGTTTATTCTTTTTGCAAATGTATCTGTAGCTAACACATCATGATGATCTTGAAAATAATGGCTACACAATATAGCATATGAAAGAGGTAACATTTTATTTACATGGAAGACTGACATTCCCAGTGGCGGGCATTCGATGATTGGGAAATGGACTTATTGCCTCTTCATCAGCAATCTGGATAACATTACATGCAAGTCATTTATAAAATTACGACTTCATATTACATATGAGTTGAATCTACTCATGTCATCGATGACAGTACGCAATGACTTTCATTCGCTCATTTGCTTTTCAGCTATAGGAATATTTTTAAAACTAAAAAGGGAATATTCAAAGAAGATATAAATTTTTGGAAAATAAATGTTTTGTCTCTCTACATCTCCTACTTATACCATCAATAGCATGAGTAGATTTCACTCATTAGTGACATAAAGTCGTAATTTTATGACTGAATTGAGTACTTCACTTTCTAATGTTATTCAGATTGGTGCTGAAGAGGCAATAGGGCAAGTGTTCGAAATATCGGATGTCCGCCTTTGACGATGGCAGTGTTCCATATAAGTGAAATTTCACTTCTGCCATACACTATATTGTGTATCAATTCTGTGTATGATATCTGATTCAATTCAATGAGGAATGTTCGGAGTATAAACTGAATAGGAAGAAGTGTTTTTTGTATAATTCGAAGTTTAAAGGAAGTAGTTATTTTGAAAGGACTTTTTTTCCAGTTTGTATCTGAAAATTACTTTTTGCATGATCTACACATCTTTGTAAGAAGTTTATTTTGAAATTAATTGCTTTCTTCCTTCCTTTGGAAGATCCTCACATTTTTTGTATGAAGATGGAGAAGTAGAAAGCCAAAAACCTTTCTTTCCCAAAAATTAAACTCTCCTATAAATACCTTTTTTTCAATCTGTGTGTGAAAATGGAATAAAACTCTTTTCCGGAAATAAACACATTTGGAAAATGACAAAAAATTACCTTGTACGCATCCCTGATATTGATCATTTTTTTATTTTGAGCTACAGTTCCGGCAATTCCTACACCGAAAGGTATCTTCAGCTCTTCAGATCTTGATAGTTTCATGGCTTCGTCAAAGGATGTGTCGGGTCGGACATCAAATAGTTTGGCTACCAGATATCTTGCTTGGTTGCTTGTTCTTGTTAGGAAAAGAGAACCTCTATCTGCATGGGTGAGAATGCTCACATTCCTAATGATTTTATAACACAGCAAATTTATATCTATTTCATTGGCTACGTCACGGATGAGTTCCATAAAAAGTTGACATTTCTGGAAAGAAAACATAATGATGGAGATAAAGGTGAATGAAGTACACATAACTAGCAAAAATGATCTACTTTGGATTACCAAAGCATTTGTCATTGTCTCAAATCAGTAACGCTTTCACCATGAGTCAAATTTTCACACAAGATGAATTGAAATGAGGAGTACTCGTTGGACAATAATATCTGCTCGCCTTCGTATCTATGGAAATTTCGGATATAGCACTTTTCTAGCAGAACTTTTTCTATGTATATAGAATATAGCAAAATATCACCCAACTTCTTAGTGCTTACCCGAGCGAAAAATTATAGAACCGGATCGATAGTACAGGTAATGTGGAAGCCAAGAATTAATTTCTCTCCATACTGCCGGAAGTAGTTTCACTGGGCTAGATTATAAGGTCTTTCGAAATAAATCATGTGACCTACACAATCGACCACTTCAAAACAAGGAGTAGAAGACAAAGTATGCCATCTGATGACTATCTCCTAATAACCGGAAGTTTTGAGAGGACATATGAGGTGCATACGAATCGTTACAAGAGTAGTTATCTCGGCCAGAAAATGTGACACACCGATTTTTAGGCAAAAAATCAAAGGTATCATGAAACGAATAATAAATAAAACTGGTTACAGGGGGCGGCCGGATGTAGTGATGCAATGTAAATTGAACCTTTCCACAAAATGTAACCAAATGAATCAATGAATGTTTGGAACCTTTGGTGTAGTAATGAATATTACTGGAGTTTTTTCCCAACACCAAATCGTTATTTTTAACACCTCGACACGTGTTCCGATCACCGAGTGATCATCTTCAAGAGGAAGATCAAACTAGAAACTAACGCGAAGCTAACGCTATATCTATATAGCATGAATAGCGTTAGCTTCGTCGTGTCGAGGTGTTAAAAATAACGATTTAGTGTTGGGAAAAAACTACAGTAATATTAAATGAATCAGTGACACCCATTGAGGATTATAAGGTTGCTCATGGGTTTCCCTGTTATTAAGTAACACAAAGCATAAAAGTATAAAAGTGAACATTGAGGTTACATAACTACAGCTAATAATGAATGAATATACAATCTAATGATGAAAATGCTCAAAGTTTTTACGCAGATGTCGCTAAAGAACTCAAGTTTAGCCATCAAAACATTTATATTTCTTTCCTTTCTCTTTTATTTGATGTGCTGTACATTGAGATCCAACTATTATTAACAAAGATGTGACTTAGTGCCCGGCGGGTTGGCTGTCCTTGTTCATCTTCCACTGCCTGAACCACTGTGCATGCTGTTTTTGGCGAGTGCATTGGCTTGGAATGTGGGGGTTGAGCAAAGCGGCCATCGGATGCCTGCTTCCACGTAGCCCCGCTGTATACGGGAATGGTTCTGTTATTCCCTAATTGAATGGCACCCCAACGATGGCTTAATCCTAAGGTGTGTGTGTAACCGTGCGGAGATGATGAATTACACTGAGCCTGTCAGCTGTCTCTACGGAACTTTCGAGATACCGGGCACCCTCTAGTCGTAGCATCGCCTTGTCATGATGAAACAGGGCTCTGCCGTGGTTGACCTTCATTCCCTAGCTACTCGTGGGATTATTATGAACAGAATGAACTTAAGAATTATTTCTGACGCTGAGTCTACAAAGGAGATGGATGTCGAGCTAACGACTCCAACTGACCTCCCTGTAAATTTAGATAAGGAGCGAGTCTATGGATGTCGAACTTACGATTTCGACTGACCTTACCGTAAATTGTGATCGGGACCGAGAGCTTCTCAACTCTCTAACTCCTGATCCAATAACTGAACGACTGAGTCGTCGTCTCCTCAAGAGCGGGGTACCTTATGAAACCTCCTTGCACCAAATTCTTGAGGGGCGTATGCAGAATATGTCTCAGGTGGAGGAACAAACCCATGAGCAGGTTAGCAAACGTTTGCGCTCAAGTGAGATTTCACCAAACCCAGAGGTGGAAAAGCCCTGCACGGCTGAATCTAAGACATCGTCAGGTGTAGCTGACGTGCAAAAACTCCCATATGGAAAGAATGTCGCGAGTATCAAGGTAGGAATCTTGCACCTTGACCATCCGACTACCTCATCAACGATGAAACAGCAGAGCATATACTTTGTGCCTGCCCCGCTGGGGACTGATTCAGGTTTTTGGACTTCGGCAGAGTCACACTCTTACCATCTGACCTGAAAGACCATTCACCATACAAACTAATCGGCTTCATTAAGAAGCTGGAATTATTTGGTCGGGTGTGAATAGGTGTGAGCCACTATGAACCATTGCAGGTTGCGGTGGAGGGTCGAATAGACCCACTCACTTTGGACCTAACCTAATCCAAATGGCCAAATAGCCCGAAACCGGTCTGCAAGTGTGTTCCAATAATTGAAAATCTATTGCGGCAGTTGTATCGCCAACAGCATATGCAGGAATAACTTCTGTGAAGAATCCTGCACTGACACCTGTCGGATATAATCCAACGCCCTTTGTGGTATTAACCAGGGGAGTAGTTGTTTTCTGATAGGTGTCAGTCCATTAACCTACTGTGTAGGGAGTTGAGACTGGCCTGATCGAATTGTTCTTTGATAATTTGTATTACAGTCCCGTTGAACTGTCACGTTGTTTTTCCTCAAATTATGTATTTTGACGCACCCCTGTATACTCCACGCAATGCCCGTTACATTGACGCCATGTTTTCTTCTTTACTGCTGGGCCATGCTTTTTCATTTAACACCACACACACCATGTATTTTGACGCACCTCTGTATACTCCACTCAATACCCGTTACTTTGCCGCCATGTTTTTTTTCTTTACCGCTGGGCCATGTTTTTTCATTTAACACTACACACACCTTGTATATTATTGTTTTCATATTATTCCAAGCGCGCTCGAATCGTTATCTTCCAAACCGCCATAACGCTGCTCGATTCTCGGCCGTACGCGTGACCTTGAAAAGAACCAAGAATGCCACGATGGACCTCAGCCGTTTTTTCATGTTAATCCCCATAAGCCAACTTTCAGAACCGGTGCTCCATATCTACTCTGGACTCAAAAACATTAAAAAAAAATTCACTCAACGAAACATTTCAGTAGGTAGGTTGGTTTAGGTTCAAAATGAGTGGGTCTATTCGACCCTCCACCGCAACGCGCAAGAGTTTATTGTAATTCACACCTATTCACACTCAACCCAATGAACCCAGCTTCTTAACGAAGCCGATTAGTTTGTATGGTGAGTGGTCTTTCAGGTCAGATGGTAGGAATACGGCTCTGTCGAACTCTAAAAATCTAATTCATTCCCCAGCGGGGCAGGCACAAAGTATGTGCTCCGCTGTTTCATCATTTTTCAAACAGAGGCGACACACACTGTCTTCCGACAGTCCGAGCCTCTGCATATGATGATTCAAATTACAGTGATCTGTAAGAAGGCTTGTTAGACATCGTAGTTCATTCATTCCAACAACTGTTTGGTATCAAGCTTCGAAGGGTCAATAAACGTCTTGGAGTGAGCCAATCCTGGAAGATTCTGCCAGAAGTTCATAAATTTCCTTGTCATCCAGGTGTTCAATGTTTGTTTGGCAAAGCCTAAAGTAATGCCAATTACAGGTTCTGGTACGATGAAAGTGCTTGCAGCACCCTCCTTTGCCAGGGAGTCACCAGCCTTATGGCCTTCCAGGCCAGTACGACCAGGAATACACATCAGAGACACTCTGTTAAATCTTCCTATCGAGGAGAGTCGTTTTTAGCAATTTGCTACCAATTTAGATGTTATACGGCAGGAGCCAAGCGTTGGATGGTTGACTGTCCGAGAATATTTTTATTGACTTGTGTATGAGGTTGGATTCTTTCAATCTATATTCCAAACATTCGTTATGGAATAAAATCAGATATCATTCACAGGAGTTCTACTTTAAATGAATGGTAACAAATTGCACTCACATGGAACACTGGGATTTACTCAAATACGTGAATTAATGTCATTACGATGTCATCGATGACATAAGTAGATCAAACCTATTCCGTGACATTAAAAATCGTAATTTATGAATGAATCGTGTGTATTTTCTTTAATGTTATCTAGATTGGTACTGAAGAGCCTTAAGGCAAGTGTCTTACGGCGAAACATCGATGTCTACCTGTAAGGATGACAGTGTTCCATATAAGTGCAATTTGTTACCATTGATTTAAAGTAGAACTCCTATGAATGATATCTGATTTTATTCCATAACGAATGTTTGGAATACAAACTGAGTAGAGAAACGTATCTTCTGTATAATTCAGTGTTCATATAGAAGTATTTGTTTCGAAAGATTTTTTTTCGGGTAATTCAATGCTTATATGAAAGTAGCTGTTTGAGGACGGCTCTCTTCCAGTTTGTGTCTGAAAGTTGCACATCCATGTATAGAGTTATTTTCGAATTGATCACTTCCTTCCTTTCTTTGGAAGATTCCCACATTTTTTTTGTATCATAAACTTTTGATATTGCGACTCATCTTTGTATTCCACAACGCAAAAATTACGGCAAGTGGTAAGTTAAGATTTATTATAAATAAGACTATTAAATTTACTTCATGTATCAAAATGAGACATTTTTTCCAAGGCGTACTATCTAAAGTTGAAGAAGAAGAAGAAGTAATCACTTTTCATTTTGCGCGAGAAATGGTTAAGGAATCATATTGTTTGATACATAAAAATACAAAGTTAATGATATTTTCCAAAAGACGAAACGCCGCAGAAAAATTCTGCTTACGTTATTGTGTAGTCCTGAAAAATTAGCCGTGGGAAAGTGCTTTTTGTTTTACATTTCCTTTGAAAATAAAGCAAGGAGAAAATAATAACAACAGTTTCAAATTTCGGTTTTTCACTGATATCTCCGAATCTGTTCGGAATATTAAAACTTATTGAATGGCATATTATTAGGCACATGAATGCGCTACTTTTCTCTAATTCAATCGACCCCGTATCACTTAATGTTTCCGATATCCCCATTCTGTTCATTCTTATT